GAGTGAGACTCTGTCTCAAAAATAAACAAACAAACAAACAAATGAAAATGAATAAAATGAAGACCCAGGAACAGATGCGGTGGCCCATGCCTGTAATCTTAACACTGGGAGGCGGAGGCATGTGAATTGCTGGAGTTTAGGAGTTCTAGAACAGTCTGAGCAAGAGTTAGACCTGTCTCTACTAAAAATAGAAAAACTAGCTGGGCATTGTGGCTGGTGCCTGTAGTCCTAGCTATTTGAGAAGCTGAAGCAAAAGGATCCCTTGAGCCTAAGAGTTTGATGTTGCTATGAGCTATGATGACGCCATTGCACTCAGCCTAGGGCAACAGAGTGAGACTCTATTTCAAAAATAAATAAATAGAATGAGGACTGGGGAGGCACCTGTGGCTCAAAGGAGTAGGGCACCAGGCCCATATGCCGGAGGTGGTGGGTTCAAACCCAGCTGCGGCCAAAAAGTAACCCAAAAAACGAATAGAATGAGGACCTGGGTGGTGTCTGTGACTCAGTGAGTAGGGCACCTGACCCATATACCGAGGGTGGTGGGTTCAAACATGGTCCCAGCAAAACTGCAACAAAAAAATAGCCAGGCATTGTGGTGGGTGCCTGTAGTCCCAGCTACTTGGGAGGCTGAGGCAAGAGAATCGCTTAAGCCCAGGAGTTGGAGGTTGCTGTGAGCTGTGTGACACCACAGCACTCTACTGAGGGCGATAAAGTAAGACTGTCTCTACAAAAAAAAATAAAAAAATAAAATGAGGACCCAAGGCTCAGCCTCGTGGCTTACATCTGTAATCACAGCACTCTGGGAGGCCAAGGCAGATGGATTGCCTGAGCTCAAGAGTTCAAGACCAGCCTGAGCCAGAGTGAGATCTCATCTCTAAAAATAGCTGGACGTTGTATCGGGTGCCTATAGTCCCAGCTACTAGGGAGGCTAAAGCGAGAGAATCGTTTGAGCCCCAGTTTGAGGTTGCTGTGAGCTGTGATGCCTTGCTTGACATTCTATTGAGGGCAGGGCCACAAAGTGAGACTCTGTCTCAAAAATAAATAAATAAATAGGAACCCAGTGCTAGGTACAAGGTAATTGCAAGTTGCCCTGCAGGCCCTAACTTTTCTTTTCTTTCTTTCTTTCTTTTTTTTTTTTTTTTTGAGACAGAGCCTCAAGCTGTCACCCTGGGTAGAATACAATGGCATCACAGCTCACAGCAACCTCCAACTCCCGGGCTTACGCGATTCTCTTGCCTCAGCCTCCCAAGTAGCTGGTACCATAGGCGCCAGTCACAATGCCCAGCTATTTTTTTGTTGTAGTTGTCATTGTTGTTTGGCAGGCCTGGGCTGGATTTGAACCTGCCAGCTCAGTTGTATGTGGCTAGCACCTTAGCTGCTTGAGCTACAGGTGCCCAGCCAGGCCCTAACTTTTCTAATTATGTCTTCTCTCTTTTTTCTGTCTTTGGGGTTGGACATGTGCAAAGGACAGAACACAATCTATGGTTGTGTTGCTTTGAGAACAGGGAACCCCAGGGAAGCACTATGGCTAGAGGAGACCCCTGGGGATGAGGAGGGGAGGCTAAGCAAAAGGGAAAGGAGGGGGGAAGGAGCCTGGAGGATGAGACTGCTGGGCAAGAGGCCAGCATTCTCAGAGGTGGCAGCTTGCTGAGCGTTCACTCCAGGGTCCACCTGCACTTAACAGCTCTAGGATTTCTGGCAAATTCCTTAACTGAGGCAAATGCCTCCATTTCCTCCACTGCAAAGTGGGACTAAAGCTGCCCCATGATGTATGTCAAGTGCCTGGCATGTAGGAGGGGCTTAATAAAGGGCTACTATTAGGTTATTATTGTTATATTATATATACCCTTCTAAAAAAAATCTTGAGGAAAGCTAACCTCTAAAAGGACAAACACATTTCAGGCCCTCTCTGAGCTTCAGCAAAGAACACAACACATTCCAGCTTGCTTTCATTTCAGCTAAATTTTATTTGTCGGATTTTTGACAGACATCTAAATTATACATTGAGTTTTCCACATGACCAAACACCGCGTCCCTTCCTTTGATTATCATTTTCAAAAGGGATTATAAAAAAAGAACCTTTAGATGGATCAGACTGAACCCTCAAACCACATGGAGTGCAGAGCTAAAAATAAAAGGAAGTAAGAACTGGTCCCTGAGAAGGAAAGGAAAGAGAAATCAAAGCAAAATCTGACGGGAATCGAGGGATGAGTCCTGGTGAGGGTGACATGGTGTCACCCTCTAGGCCAGGCCGGATAAGGAGTGGCCAACAGTGAGGGTGGGGTGCAGAGTGGCATAAAAATAGCCACTACTTTAGTCCAGAGGGGAAAAAAGAAATTTGTCAAAAGCCAGGAGAGAGAAGTGGAGATGGAGGGAGGGAGGGAGAGTGGGAGGGGGCAGGACTATGTCCTCTCAGCAGTCGTGGGAGCTGTGTACTCCTTTAACCCTGGCACATTTCTAACCGCCAGCATAATCGCTGACTTTCAGCTGTGCACCGACATGTTCCCCTGCTCAGCCCACATCAATGACACCCTTGTTTCCATAGAAACCAAGGGAGAGTGAAGGGGAAAGGGTGTATTGCACTGGGCGCGGAGAATCCAGCCAAAAGCAGCCGCACAGGGTAGGTTGGGAGGAGGGGAGGACTCAAGTTTTTCCCACAACTGGCTTGAGGACATGTCAAGGGCCTGTCCCAGGCCTTTCCTGCCCTCTGGCCCCCAACCCTCTCCCCAGCACATCCAGATGGGATGGTAAGGGCAAAGTCTCACTGAGACTCACTGGGGGAGGTGAAGGGAAAAGGGTATCTCCTTTCTACTTTCAAATTCTTGGCCACAGGGGGCGGAGACCAGACTAGGGAGAGGAAAAGGGACTTTAAACGCATTTTGTTTTCACAAATGGGATCTTTCAAACTCCTGTGTTTTCCAGGATTCTCTCATCTATCCCCTGAGCCTGGGGAGGGGTCACTAAGGCTCAGAGGGAAGATGAAAGTGTGTGACGTCCACATGTCTGTGTTTCTGCAGCTGAGAAGTAGATCTGAACATTTAGAGGCCCTTATCAGAGGAGGACAAGTGGCTTCTGCTAGCTCAGGCCTTGGGAGGGCTCTTTAAAATAGTTCCTGAAGTTGGTGGTAAAAGAATGAAAATATTTTACAGACAATCCACTGCCAGAGTCAAAGTTCTCTATTGCAGTATTCCAAAACTGCAGACCTCAAAGAGGGCATTTTGTCCCCAGATAACATCTCGGATGCCCTATAGGGAAGGAAAAACAATTTTCAAGGACTGGAGCCACATTTATTTCCAGCCCTGCAGAAGGGGATTTCTTTTTTTTTTTTTTTTTTTTTTTTACAGTTTTGGGTTGGGGCTGGGTTTGAATCCACCACCTCCAGCATATGGGGCCAGCGCCCTACTCCTTTGAGCCACAGATGCTGCCCCAGAAGGGGGATTTCTGACTCCTTATCATCCTGTGTTGTCTCTGTTCAAAGCGAGAGAGGAGCTTGGGAGAGCCAGAGGTCTGTGGAGGAGGCTGCAGGGAACAACTAGTTCTGTGGTTTAAAAGACCTCACTTTCTTTTGTCTTGCAAGTCCTTACAGGTCTGTCCACAGCAACTCCAGGGCACCTTTGTTGATGACTTTCACCCCAGACCACCTTTGAATGTGGCCATGCTTCAAGTCTCTACTGAGTAACTTGTCCAGAAAAAGCTGAGCACTGAGGGCCAGGGCTAGAGTGGCCCCTTCAATCTGCTCACATGCCTTGGAGGGTTTGGGAAGGGCCACCCCCCAGGATGAGAAGGCAGCTGGCCTCCCAGACCCACCAGGCACTGGACAGTCTCTTATTCATTCTCTGAAAACCCCTGAGTTCAGGCACCAGAACAGAGTTTAATTCAGGAGCTGGGCGATGCTCTGGCCTGCTTTCCCATGTTTGAAGCTGGGGATTTCTGCAGGCCCACGGAAACAAGCTCTTTTTGCAAGGAGGGGCAGAAGAAGCCCTCTGCCATTCTTCCCCAGTCACCCAACAGAGGACCCATTTTACTGGAGAGAAGCAGAGGAGACCCACAGCTGCGGTGACTCTGGCTCTCTGGGCAGGACTCCTGTGTTCACACACCTCCATGTTCTCCCCAGCAGCAGCCCCTCTTCAGCCTCGAGCATCCCGTATCACCAGCTTGCCAGCACTGTAAAAATCGATCTCTTCTAAAAATCGATCTGCCTGGCTTTTCTCAGTGGAGCAGGTTCATGGTAAAGCTGCATTTATTTTTTAAATCTGATAGCAGAGGTCTATTGTGATCTTTTAAACACAGAATTCTTTGAGCTTTAGAAGCCTCTTCTGTGGGACGGCAGTGGAGAAGCCAGCTAATCCCAGAGTCGGCTGCTCACTGCTCCACTGAGCTGGAGAAAGCCTGTTTACGCTCGCCTGAGCCCTCCATGTGAGGGCTTTTTAAGGACCTTGTAATTTTTCTGGAATTAAACCTCCCACCTCTCCTTACATTCCAGATGTCATTACAGTCAAAAGTCATAAGAATTTCCTTCCCTGTGTGGCTGGCTAGGGGGGATGGGGATGGGGATGGGGTATATTTCAGTAGTGACTTGTTTGCAAGAAAGGATTTTTTTTTTTCCTGACCAAAGGGTAAGGATTACACACATAGCCTCCTACTGCATGACACGATGGTTTAATCATCTGCTATTCCTTCCCCTCCCCTCCCCAGTAGCTTCCTGCTGAACAGACTAAAGCCTTGGGTCAGTTGGTGATGGTAAAAATCAGTGACCAGCACCAGCAAACACTGTCTGTGGTTTCAAAACCATGGAGGGAATGTAAGGGACAGGTCAGTAAATAAATGAACTCAGCATAAGCTGCTGCTTCCTCTTTTTCTTCTTCTTCTTCTTCTTCTTTTTTTTTTTTTTTAAAGAAAAAAAGCCCACTGGAATCGTCTAAACTGCAATGCAATCTCTTGCTCATTTAAAAGATCTCATTTTCTAATCATGTGCTTTGAGACATTTAACACTATTTCAATTATGCAGAGGAAATAATATAATTCCTTTATTTGAAAAATGATACTGAACCTCAGAGATCAGTTAAATCTACTGCTGGAATGGGGATTCTTTTTAAACTGTGTTGTTCCCTCTCTTCAAACAGCTGTAGCTGTACACAGATGGAAAAACATTTGGTCAGAAAGCAGCAAATTAGTGTTTTTCAGGACCGAATTCGGCTCCCACAGCTCCTGCATCTCCATTTGTCTAGATTTTACTTCTTCTTTGCATTGACATTTTTGCAGACCCAGTTCATGCCATCCTTTGAAGGAAATGGGCAGAGAAATGCAGGTTAGTTATAAGAAAGGCACCACACATTCCAGCCTGAAGGGAGGGATGGGGGAGTCCTGGGTCCTCCCTCCCAGACCACCAGATTCAGGGAGTTTGCTTGCCCCAGGGGCCCACCTGGGTGACCAGGGACAGTGACCTCTGGGAGGAAGGAGGTCTCAGAGAACAAGAGAGGGAGATGGAAGGGGGAGTGCCCAGCTTCTGAACTTGAGATGGGTCCTCAGGAACTCCCTTCTGAAAAAATAAACACATCTGCTTGGATCCAAGGCCTGATTGAAGAGCTATCAGGAAAGATTCCAGCCATTTTTGGCTTTTTCTAAAAGCTGACCTTTGCTAGGGCATTAAATTCAATAAGCCACCCTTCTGGTGCCCCAGTGTGTTTACAGTGTGACAGTGTACACTTGGGTTAAATTAAATTTCTTTTTGGAAAAACAAACCCGCTGCAGTGTGTGTTGCTAGAAACACACTAGGGCAATACGCATTTATTTCTCTTCCTGCAGCAGTACAGATAGGTTTAAAAGGGCCTGGCCTATTTCTTACAGCTTTAAGCAGAGGGACTGGGGAGAAGGTTCCCTTAAAGGCACAGTGACCTTGAAAGCGCCCTCTCTGAAGGCTGGAGGGAGACAGAGGCAAAAACTTCACAATCATTACAGCCACCTAGCAGATGGCATGATTTCTCATGGATGCCAGGCCTGTCAGAGGTGACCTCCTTTTCAACTCCTTTTGGAGCCACACCTGGACACTTTCCCCTTCCCCAGAGTTTCCCCAACCTTGAGGGGTATGCAGAGTACCCGCAGTAGCCCAGAACAAAATCTTTTCCCTGCATTTGTTAACACATGCTCACTGAGGTCCCAGCCACATTTGCACATATCAGCCATACGCGCCATACCACACCACCGAGTCCCACATTTCCTGTGGCCATGGATCTAGCTGAACCTGAACAGCTGAGGCAGCTTATAGTAATAAATATCAGCTGACACCTTCGGCCATTCGGAACTTAATCCCATAAACAATACATCACTGCAAAACAACCAGCAGGCATCCTCTCTCCTGGCTAATCTGACCGTCACCTGAATTTACAGTGATTAAAACTCCGCCAGTTGCCATCAATGCACTTGGGCAAGGGAACCAGATACTCTGATGGCTGTCCCAGAGAGGACCTTATGGTCTTTGCCAAGATGCAGCTGGCTGTGGCTGAAAGCCCAGAGGTATATAGCACCTGGCCTCAGTGGGGGAAGGGTGGAGGAATGCCGAGGTGGGAGAAAGGGAGAGTCCAAACGCATCTCTAATTACAACTAGGTCAGCTACTTACTCTGAAAAGCCAAGGCCAATTTTAAGACCATTTTATGAAAAGGATTAATTTAAAGAGAAGCATGTTTAATTTTAGTAGCTAATTGGTTTCCAGGAAAAAAAATGATCACCTGCCAGGAGACAAAAAAGATTTTACAAATAAAAGAGGGATGAATAAGATAAACATCTTCTCTTGCCTTGGGAGCTGAATAGCTCAGCACTTACATGGCACTTTCCATCTTCGGGAGCCTGCATGCTCTCAAAGGTGCACAGCTCAAAAACGGACTCTCCTCTATGGAGATATGCAGTATTTTATCAAACCGTCTTCTCAGAGAAATCAAGAACAGTCTTCCCACACTATGTGAAAGCCATTCTGTCTTTTTCTTGTTATATGGCTGATTAAGAAGGCTTTTTTTTTATTATATGTAACTGAACATGAGTGCAAGCAAAGAGGTAGGAAAAATATTTACTCAGCGGCAAGAGCCCAAAGCAGAAGATGGAGGGTGCAGGGTAGCTTTATCCTGGGTGTCTGTCATGGAGGCAGAGGAGGGTTTAAAGGGCAGTGCCCTGCTGAGGGGCAGTGTCCCGTGTCTCCAGATGTCTGTGAGGGCCCAAGTAGTGAACCCTTCCAGTCAGAGTTCTACCAACAGAGGGCGCTCAGAGGCCAGTGTCTGACCTCCACCATGGGGCCCTGCAGCCGTTACCTGCAACCCTTCACAGGGCACAAACAGGGCACCAGGCCCTGTGACAGCCCTGGACTTAGAAGGACCCTGGGGGATGAACCTGGGCTGGAGGTGGAAGGCGTGGCAGAGGCAATAATCCCTAAGGGAAAAGTTCGTGTCAGACTTGTTGGAGGTCGTATTCACAGAACCTAGCATGGTGTCTGGCCTACAATGTACACTTCATTTCTATATATATATATTTTTTTTAGAGACAGACTCTCACTTTGTCACCCTCGGTAGAGTGCTGTGGTATATACCACAGCTCACAGTAACCTCCAACTCCTGGGCTTAGATGATTCCTCTGCCTCAGCCTCCCAAGTAGCTGGGACTCCAAGTGGCCACCATAGTGCTTGGCTATTTTTTTTATTGCAGTTTGGCCAGGGCTGCGTTCAAACCCATCACCCTCAGTATATGTGGCCGGTGCCCTCCCCTGACCCACAGGCGCCGCCCCATTGTTATCTTTTAAATCAGTTTTTGTAATAAGCCTGTGAAGTAGGTCCTATTATTTGTGTCCGAGATGAGATGAAGGCACAAGACAGTGCATGGCAGAGGCAGCCTGGCCCTGGCGCTGCACATCATTGTGTTCTTGAACTGTTCCCCTGCATATGGGCAACTGCTAGAGGGAAGCACATCTGCCTCAAGCTTACAGAAGATTAGGACCAGGGCTGTGGCTCATGCCTGAAATCCCGATACTCTGGGAGGCTGAGATGGATGGGTTGCTTGAGCTCAGCAGTTCCAAGACCAGTCTGAGCTAGAGCAAGACCCCCATCTCTAAAATAGTTCGCCATCATTGTGTATGCCTATAGTCCCAGCTACTCAGTAGGCTGAGACAAGAGGATTGTTTGAGTCTAAGAGTTTGGGGTTGCTATGAGCTATGATGTGACAGCACTCTATCCAGGGCAACAGTGAGACTTGGTCTCAAAAAACCCCTAAAACATTAAGCTTAGAGAAGAGTGGGGAATTCCTGGAGATGGGAAGGGAAGCAATTCCAATTTTTTCTTCCTTATGACTTAAGTCAAATATGGGGGCCTGAGACTGGAGTAGTCCCAGACACACTGGAAGCTCTAATGGTGCCAGAGGTTATTTCTGGCCATGCAACTCTCAAGATTTCTGGGCTGGAGCAGTGACTCACACCTATAATCCTAGCACTCTAGGAAGCTGAGGCAGGTGGATTGCTTGAGCTCAGGAGTTCAAGACTACCTGAGCAAGACTGAGACCCCAGCTCTACTAAATATAGAAAAACTACCTGGGTGTTGTAGTGGGCACACGAAGTCCTAGCTATTCAGGAGGCTGAGGCTGGAGGATTGCTTGAGTCTAGGAGTTTGAGCTTGCTGTGAGCTATGATGATGCCACAGCACTCTACCCAGGGCAATAGAGTTAACACTTTGTCTCAAAAAAAAAAAAAAAAAAAAAAAGGCCAGATGCAGTGGCTCACACCTGTAATCCTAGCATTCTGGGAGGTTGAGGTAGGTGGACTGCCTGAATTCACAGGTTTGAGACAAGCCTGAACCAGAGCAAGAGTTTGTCTCTAAAAATAGCTAGGTGTTGTGGCAGGTGCCTGTAGTCTCACTACTTGGGAGGCTGAGGCAAGAGAATCACTTGAGACCAAGAGTCTGAGGTTGCTGTGAGTTAGATGCCACAGCACTCTACCAAGGATGACAAAGTGAGACTCTGTCTCAAAAAAATAAAGATTGCTGGCCTGCCAGGTACCTGTGTGCGGAGCCTGGATATTTATGTGGCTGCATGATCACATCAAGTTAACTATCCATTCAGACCACTGTCTTCAGTGGAAACTCTATATTGAGAGACTACATACTTCTCTATATTGAGAGACTACATACTTGAAAGGGGAGCAAGTTTTTTCTTTGGCCAGGGCTGGGTTTGAACCCACCACCTCCCGCATATGGGGCCAGTGCCCTACTCCTTTGAGCCATAGGCGCCGCCCAGGAGCAACTTTCTGCTCCTTATGTTTAAATGAGTGCTGCACACTTCTCTTGTTTTTTTTTTTTTTTTTT